AAAACAATATATGAAAGTAATGAGAAAGTGGCCACTTTCATGAGTAAATCATAAAAAGCCTTATATGATTCGCTATGTGAAGTAGGCCACATCTTATGCAAGTCTTTTATAAGTTTTTACTATTTCTTTTCCATATGGGTAAATACACAGAGGGTAATGATCTGATCAAAGGCAGGGATGTTGGGAACCTATCAGGAAAAGAAAAAGGACCTCAAAGGCAGCCAAACCTGCTGTAATGAACCGCTGGTCTGTACCATAAATTATCATTACGGGGGTTGTTGGAGCTTTGTGCACAGTAGCATTAATGACGGATGCACTCAGTAAACTGTATAGAGCAGTCTGTCATGCACAGGAATAAGCTGTATAAAGTCCATGTAAGTTGCAATAATATTTTAATCAATTTCAGTGTTAAGTTTGTTTCTAACGTAAGGTATGTTACTGCATTTGTATCATGAGATACGTGAAAACTTTCTCGTTCTGTACTTATGTTACATGCATCCATGTGATATTTTTTAACTTAGACATGTGTGTCGCTCAAGCTAGCAGCGCCCCATGAGAAACGGGACGAATGTTTACGTGTTCACGGGAGTTTGCACCCTTGGCAAGTGGACTGAGGTATGTGATGCAATGTGATCTGATGTTATATTTTATCCAGCTGAACTGTGAAACACATTGACACTTTTAAACAGCCTTTATTTAGTTTTATTTAAGCAGTGACTGTAAATCTCAGAATTACTTGTTTTGTTTTGTTTTAATATACCTGATCGAATTGAAGCGCATTTGTTGATATTGCTTATTGCTAAGGTTCAAGGGGACTGTACAGGCATCTTCTATTGTTCTTGATGCCAAGGGCTGCTACACCTGTCATTCACAGCCACACTCACACCAGATGGCAACGAGTGGAGGAGAGCAAAAGAAACAAGCACTCACACAATGAGAGTTGCCAAGGCCATAAATCCTCACCTTTGTGAATCTTGTTTTCTTGTAAATAGTTTGTTTACAGGAAAATGAAACAAGCAATAAGTAAAGTTTCTCATGAAATGAAAGAATGCAACACACAGGATGTGTGATACCCATTATGCCACTTTTTACACTGACAGTGACACACACACACATAAACAGTTGCGCAAAATGGGAGGTGTAACCACAAGCATGTATAAAAGAACTTTGTGATGTGCCGTATTTTCATTCCTTCATTCATCAGCTTCTTTTGACATCACAGGTAAGTAAATCACTGTAACATGGTTTATACAGACTTCACATTTTTTTTATATAGAAATTAAAATGTTTCAGATTGATTTGTAATTTGAGTTTTTCAGTTGTGATTCTTTGTGAATCCTTAAAGTTGCGCTTTTTTGAATGATAACTCCACTGGATAATGAAGACAGTCAGCTGCAGTTTGTAAACCTTCAATTCAAATTTTAATGCTGTACAACTTTGACTTGGAGACAGAGTTGCTAAGAACAGCAATGGCATCAGTGACTGTTTGCAGCACCACCAAAGGCTTGTTCCTCATCTTCACCCTGCTGTCTCTGGTTTGCCTTTCAAGTTCACTGATAGACAAGGACCAGCTGGTAAATTGTTTTTTCTTGATTTTGTGAGTCACCACAAACAAAGTTGCTGGTGTAATTTAAATGTTTTGATCTTTTAATAACTGTATATGCTGGATTTTCAGAAACAACTCAAAGAAAACTATCAGAACATAAAACAACAAATGGACAGAGTGAAGGTCAGTACATGTTCAGAGAACCGCTATGAGAAACTTGTGGATATATGTGACCAGTCTACCTTACAACATAGTAAACTGCATTCCTGTAATATGAAACTGTTACATTTTATCCCATCAGGCTAAGCGTGTGGAAAGAGTGAACTTCGGTTCTGAACTGTTGAGTGAATACTTGAGCCTTATGGACCCGTTGATCGCACTGATGAAGAAATCTGCAAAAGTTTTACCTGATGGTTTTCCTCGAGTTGATACATTTATGGAGTACATTAAGAATTTCGTCAAGGAAAGTAAGGCTAACATTGACAGGGAGAATGAGAATTTGGGTGAGAAAATAGAGGAAAGTGAAAAGAAACTGGGACAACTGAAAAGAATTATTGAAGTGCTCGAGGAAAAGCAAGCTGAATTGTAAATCCCATGTCAGTCATTTCATTTTTCTCTAATAATGCATCTTTTGTATCTGTGGTTAGTTTCTATTTCATATAGTACAGCTACAGTACAACTTTTTTTTAGAGCTGTCATTGTTCTTTACTGTCTGATATAAAACAAAAAAAAACATTTCACTATCAGCTACCATTGTGCGCAGACTCATATGTGCTGATGGCAACTTTTAAGAATACATTTCCAGTTGGTACTTGTTTTTCTGCCATTACTTAAATATAAAAGTGGAAACAATGTTTATGTAAACTGCAAACTGCCACACAATAAAGACATTTACCTACTACTGTTATTGTTTCTATTCTTCAGCAATAAGATGACAGATTAATAACCTGCTCACATTCTTGTGAAATGCAAGTATGCCCTCACCAGAAAGTTTATGCTGATTTTTATCATATAAATGATGACGGTATTTATATTTTAATAAGAACAATTATTATTATTATTATTCTTGTTGTGAATGTTTTCATCATTTATTTATTCATTTATTTTTCATGGTAATTTGCAGCATTCATATTTTTGCATTGAATTGGGCTAACCACATCTGCGTGTCAATAGCACAGACATCTTTAATATGAAAGCCATAATACTGGTGTTATTTGTCCATGATGTACATTCATAAACATCATGTTCCATCTATATTTATACCTTTACTGGTTCTTTACTGGTGATTTAAAGTTTAACTTGACATCATGATACTTTAATGTTGTCCGAGCTGTGGTTAATAATTATTAAGCTAGTATAGTGCTGATAACTACAACTACTAAAAATAAATAATGCTTTAGTTTAGTAAAGGTTACATTGTTCCTCACACCCAGAGGCACTCACAGCACTAATGTCAAATTTTTACTGTTCTGCATCTTGTATTAAGACAGTTAATGATTATAAAACCCTTGGCTTTTTGGATGCATGACAAACTTCAAACATCATTGTGTATAGGTTGAATGTGTCTAATGTTTGTTTGTTTCTTATGGTTTGACGCCCGCTTGTGATCTCAGTCAGTATTCTGTGAGCTTTGTTATATCTGACTACTTCAATACAAGCGGTCAGTTAGAGGTGCAGTGTTTACTCTAGTGTAGTGGCAGATTTCTTTTCTCATGTATTAATCACATATTTAATCATATCACATTAGTTATAGTAATATCACGTTCACACTTTACTATAGTAATAGCACTCCTGTCACTAGTTTACACGCATGTGGGAAGTTAACACAATGAGGCCGTTGTAATGGGTGACGTTGAACAGATAGTGGGACTCCTTCTCCTTATCAGGGATGTAAATCCTTAGGTGACGGCCAAGCAGAAAACAAGGTCATAATTCTCTCCGTGAGGGAGGAGGTATAGCCCCCCTGTGAAAGGGGCCAACATGTGAGAGTTTGTGGAATGTTCTTTGTCTGTGTCTCTGTATATAAGATGTAAGGGCGGTGGCCACAATCCGGAGATGGTCCTGGTGTTTCACTGGGATGCTCTCTCCACATTGCAATGTGTTTATTAAACCCACTTCAAATCAAGCTCACTGGGTGTGTTGCAGGTTATTGTTAAATTTTCCACGACACTAGTTATTCTTGGTCCATGAATGCCTTTAGGCTTCCATGCTGTAAGGCATGTACAGACCAACTCAGTTTTGCTGTTGACTTACAGAGTACACATCTATAGTCAGACCATTTTCTCATAGTTATACTAGAACTGGAGAAAGAAGCACTCACACAATGGGAGTTGCCAAGGCCATAAATCATCACCTTTGTGAATCTTTTTTCCATAAATGTGGTTTGTTTACAGGAAAGTGAAAACAGCAATAAGTACAGTTTCTCATTGTGGCGGAGCCTGGTCTGTGGCGTGGCTGCGGGGGAGGCTGGTGTCTTCCCTTGTGTTGCTGTAGAAGACCTGCCCATCACTCAAGTCTTTGCAAGACTCTGAATGATCAGCATACTAGTTTTCTCCCCTCATCAAACCCTGTGCCTGACTGATGTTGACATACAAAAACTTTATTTTTCTTTTATGCATCATTCGCAGCTGTCATCCAAACCTATTGACAAATTATGTAAAAGGTGAGCAGAATTGTTTGTGCACATTTGAAATATTTAAACAGTACGTTTATTTG